AAAAAATTTCTTTAGAGACAGTCATGACAAACGTCTTTCTTGTGTTCACCACAAACTGTCTTTTTGCATTTGGCACAGGTCATCTTTGACATTCTTTTCTTTTTAGACGTGCAAAGACTGCAATAACGCCTTTTTTTGGCCGAGGGTTCTTCTTCATCATCTGTGGAAGCCTGTACAGCAGATTTTGGAAGAATATTTTCAATGTTGCTTCGCACATGCCTTGGCAAAGTGGGTGCTTCCAGTCTTTGCGTCATCCACGGTGCAGTCAGTTGTTTATTTCGCAGGCGCCTCTGCGACGTAGGTTATCTTTCTCGGGTTAAGCAGTCGTTGGGAAGATTTTCATTGAATCTCAGAGAATCGGTTTTCTACGATCGAAAGTGAAACAATTGTTAAGTTGATCATCTCTTTAGACTTTCGAATATTTAACTCAATTTGATGCCTCCCGCTGCAAAAATATCTCTTGCCACATCGACGTCAATCCACGAGCAACGTGTCACGCGAGACTTATCTTATTGTGTATTCCTGTGCAAGTTGTTCCGAAGTTACTTTTATCGCGGCGCGACATCGGAACGCAGGAGCACAGACTGCGATACAATTTAAAGCTTAAATCGTGTTAGCCAATCTTTCGATCTTGAATGACGGAAGAACAGGGAGCAACTCGATCAAACTAACAACTGAATTATGGACGTTGTATTTTCAAATTCAATTATTGATATATCAGTTGATATTGGCAGCCCTGACGAAAGTTAATTTAAAGTTAGCCGCGAACTGTCCAGTGACTGAACTTCTTGATAAATTGCAGATAATAAATCAATTTCATCGTGCAATGTAAATAATGTTTTCCTTCCCGATTTGGAAATGCGTGCGCTCTTGAAAATGGTGACTCATACGTGAACCGCGAGCTTTTATGAAAATTCTCATTTTCATAGATTTCCATAAATTAGGATTAAAGAACAGTTTCTTTCGTCGACTAAAAGATTCCTCGTCGCGTAGACGAGGAAGAAAGAAAATAGAAATGCTATTAGATCTCGTTGAATTATACGTTTACTTGCACATGAAAAATCTGCACGCGTCGTAAACGCATAAAGATCTACTTACAGTCTACTCACAGGCATTTAAAACGCAGCAATTATAGTCACATAATACATATTTAAATACATATTTAAATTTATATTTCAATCATATTTAAATACATATTTAAATACATATTTAAATACATATTTAAATTTATATTTCAATCATATTTAAATACATATTTAAATACATATTTAAATACATATTTAAATACATATTTAAATACATATTTAAATATACGAGTAAAGCGTAGTCAAATGATTTCGCAGCAGATCCTTTCTCGAAATAAAAATTGCCTATACCAGTTGTATGAAGTAGAAGCCAGACATCAGTTTTTCTTCCAGTGAAACTTGGATATTTTTTAAATCTTATTACTGTTTTAAATCCTGCTTGCTCGTTTTTATCATAGAAGCATGAAATCCGCAGTCTACTCGTGGATATCAACACGTACATCTGTTTACACGGTTGATTCGCGCTATTGTATCGTATTGCAGAATTAAATCAAATTTGATGTGGCATCAGATACCAATTATTTCTCAATTTGTCTTTTGCGTAATTCGAGAAAGAATTTACGAATAAACTCTGAACAGTCACACACACGTCGCTGGTAATACTTGTTGATCGCGTTAAGTAATATTCACCGTCGATGTTTACAGTGACTGAATGGATTAAACGAAATGTAGAAATGAAGCAAAAACGTGTTTCTCATTGTACGACGGTCGTCAAAGTGTTACTAAACCGTGTTAGTATATGACGTTACAGGAGGCCTTAATTTTTGCACCGTGTTTCCAGAGTGGCGTGGAGAGAGAGATGGTTCACGGTACAATAGTTAAACTCGCGTTGAACGTAACAAGGCGATCCGTTGAACATTTTCGAAATATCTGCGATCATTCAGGATATCGCCGGGAATCGTTAACTACCTGGAAACATCCGAAAGCCGCGCGGCGTCCGCGGTCGGGCGTATCTAATCCCGGCGCGAAAGAAACTAGCATTGTTAGGTGCCAAAGGCGCGTTAGTGGCTTGCGGGCTGCGAACCGTTCAGCGATAACGAAAGGGCAAGGGTCGCGCGCTGTTGGAGGCGATGGAGCGCGGCTAACCTACGAAGAAAACTGCTTACCAGGCGTGGGAGGAGGATCCGCCGGTGGATCCGGGAGTTGAGGCGGCGAATCGAGCAGAGTCAACACGCACAGCGCGGTGACCAACACGGCGGCTAGGCCCACTCTGCATAATTTCCTGGTGCCCGCAACCGACATACTTTTCACTTTTTTCCTCTCCTTCTCTCTCTCTTTCTCTTTCTTTCTCTCCTCTCTTTTCCTTGGTCACCGGAGTCTCCGCTCGAGTTTCGTTTCACCGGGGGACACGAGGAATGGTCCCGAAGAAATCCATGTTCTCGCGCGATTTGCAATTCAAATCCGAAGGTTCCTACGGCCGAGGAATCCTCCGTTGATCAATGTTCATGGAAACGAGCGATCCGACGAAACAGGAGGAACAACCCGAGGAACCCGCGGGTCCATCGAGACGCGTCACTTCGCACCGAAGCTGCTGCCTTTGTTGTCTACAAAGAAGAAGAAGATGAAGAAGAAGAAGAAGGAGTAGCGTTGGTCGTCGATTCTGTTGGATTTCCCGTCATCGTTGGCGAACCGTCGCGTCGCGCGAACGGGAGCGAAAAGTTCGCGCGGAACCGGTATTCTAATCGCGTGAATCGTTCCGTTCGGTCAATGAGCGAGCGGGCTCGGCGCAGGGATCGGCACGAATTCGTAGCAACAGGCCAGATCGATCACGGGATCAGGCTTTTCTGGTTTCCCCGTCTGCTTTGCATAACACGCTCCGCTACACTTTCATCGCACTTAACGCTTCCCCCGTTCTGGATCTAATGATTTCCTAGAGGGAGCCGCCGCGCGCGACACACATGCACGTAGAACCCGCGGACTGGTTCACTGGAATCACGGAAATCTCGATTTACGGGAGCCGGTGAACAGTCGAACAGTCGAACAGCCGAAGAGGCGAACGAGCGTACAGGGCGACGCTGGCGTGCGACTCGCGCGTTCGGCGCTGAAATTGAAAGTTGGCACGCGAGTGGCCGTTCGCGGGGCGTCGCATTGATGGACGTGCGGGGCTCCGCGAGTGGCTTCTCGAAAACAATTATCCGGCAAAATCGCCACGGGCGCGGCCTGTCCTCGGCCTGGCCGCCGCTGTTCGACGGGCACGGTGCGGTGATCGAGAATCGGCGAGGAGAATCGGCGAGAAGAATCGGTCGCTCTGGCCGCGCTGCCGCCAGGTCATGGCGCGTCGTAAATTTGTCTCTCGGAGGTCGCAGCGATCGCCGGCGTTTCTCGGAAAAGTGGTTCGCCGGTATCGACGGGGCCGGTGCACGAACGGGACACGCGCTGCCAGCGCCGGCAGGCTGTTTAACGGCCGGGGCCCCGAGGTGAGAACACGAATCTGTCTTTTCTTGGGCGGCGTAAAAAGCGGCCCGCAAGCGGCCCGACCTCCCACGCGTCGCCGCCGCTTCTGCCCTCGACTACGTAGACCGGTGGACCATGTATGGTCGTCCCGCCCAGGCCTTCTAGTTGCTCCCTTCGATAATCTAATTAACCTGGTATCTCAGGCGGTCCGCGCATTTTTTGCCAGTCACCGTTTCTTCCACGTCCCATCGATCCTGCTCGCTCATCCTCCTCAGCCCTCCTCCCTCTTTGTTCGCAAGGCTTTTTCGCTGCCGCTGCACGGTCCTCGGAGGCTGTCTGAATCGTCCGGCCCGTCGGGATCGGCGCTCATTAATCCCGCGACCGCGTCGAATTTTCGTGGAGGTGTTTCACCCCCCCCTCCCCCTAGACGCGCGACGGCGGCGTCGCGTCGTCCCACGGGACCGCGTCCTTTCGCGATCGATCTGTTGCTCCAGGCACCGTTCCGATCCGTGAGAACTCGAGCGCCTCCTCTATTTACGGTCGGATACGGACGGACGAATTAAATCGAGCAAACGGACCGTTCGATATTACCCGGTGTCGCGTCCAGTTCCTCGACCGGCTGCGGCCGGTTACCGGGCCGCTCAGCGTCCCGGGGACTCGTTACACTTACGTTTCTTCTTAGTCACCGAACCTCTCCGCCGTCACCGTTCTCGTTTTTGTTAATCGTCAACGGGGACGGTAACACCGGCGCGAACATCGCGGAACGAGCGATATCACCTTCTCAGCTATTCTCGGCCCGGCGATTGCCTCCAATAGCCGCGCGACATGTTTTTATGCGCGTCCCGGCCGCGTATGCTAATGGCCAATCGTAAAAGCCCCGGCTCAATGGGATTTTCTATATTTATGGAATTCCCTTCCTTCCATTGCGTCGTCGACGATTCCTGGGTTAGTAGAGTCATGAAACCAGCGCCGGCCGACGCGAACCAATCGCACGCTTCCCGATCGCGGTCCGCTCGCATCCAAATTTCCGTCTCGCTACCGTGAAATCCGTACGGCCACCGGCACCGATCTTGCCTCGACGCTGCGAACCGCAACGGAGATTGCTGTCATAGGAATCTAACGAGGCATCCGACGGTCCCGTACACCCTCGAATTTTCGGCACGATTCCATTTCGCGACTGCCCGAAGTTCAGCCGCCTCATCGATCCGATTTTCTCGCTCGGCCCAGCGTGTCGGTCCTGATCGCCGAGTCGGAAGCTCGCGTCCGCACTCGGTCGTTGCGCTGGCTTCGCGGGGGATCGGAGCACGCGATGATCCGGCGGTCGACACCGAAAACACACGCGGGAAAACAATGCCGGTTCCTCGTGGAACGTCGCGAAGGCGCACGTGGTCGCTGGATCGACCGAGCGGATTGGTGCAACCTCGCCTGCGCGAGAGTCCGGAACGTACTGCGTCCGAGCGGGAGGTGAACGCGCGGCCAGAGCCTCGCCAAGTCCCGACGACTTTGGACCCGTTTCCTGAGCGTTGCCTCGCCGATACGCCTTGCCTTGCCTCGATCCATCCCTACTCACCTCGCCACGACCTAGCTTTTCCTGGCCGCGGACTCGCCTTTTGCTTAGCTACTCTCTTCTGCTCTGCTCTCGGCGCTCGGGATAGTTAGTTGACTTTGTCTTGTCGCAGCCTTGCGAGCCGAGCCGAGCCGAGCCGCGCCGCACCGCGCCGCGCCGCGTCGCGTCGCCGATACCGCGTTTCCCCGAGCTTCTGTTTTCTTTTCATATTCGCTGCCGCCGTTTCTCGGCTCAGCAGCTTCCCCCGGCTCGCTGCGTGGTCCGTTCGCGCGATCCGAGATCACTCTTCGAACAGCGGGTACCGGAGAAAGCGTGTTCGCTCGATGAACCGGTAGAATTAGAGCCCTGCGAGAACCGGCACCCATTCATGCTCGGGAACGAGAGCTCCGGGGATAGGATTAAGCTTGTTATATCAGCGAATTTGGTTGGGCGCTCTCTTCGCGGTTGCTTTGCGAGCAGAGCTATACTTTTCAGACCGCTCGAATTAGATAAAATCGCATGTCCGCGAGGTAATCCGGTAGAGTTATTAACTAGAAGTAGTTATGGAAGAACCGGCACTCGTTCGTCGTGCTGAGAAACGCGACTAGCGTGTGCATCGCGACCGAATTTGGCTGGACAGTTCTCTCGAGTCTTCGCGGACATTTTGGAGAGAGATAGCTCGTAAAAAATAGGCTCGAACCGCTTGTTTGTCGAGACGACAATACTTGTAACAAATATATTGTCGATTCGTACGCGTTCGTGATAAATCTGAATGTGTGACGTACGATAGAATATTTTAGCATTGATACGATGCTGAAATGTTGGAATCGTTCACGCGGGGAATAAAAACTTCTGTTTCGCTTGAATCTTCGTCGAAAATTTTGTGAAATTTTACTTTTCGTCAACATATTTCGCATAAGTAAACTCATAAATAATTGCACACAATATCCTCGCGTAGCTTTCATTGTTTTCTTGGTTTATGCCGAAATAGGTGTCGTCCAATGTGTCCGATCATGGCTGTCTGTATCTCCTTCGCAGTGCACGTGCTCGCGCAGCCGGCGAATAAGCCGATGTTTTACAGAAAAACATTAATGGTATTTTTGTGGTTCATTTCCTCGCGTAGAACTGCATAACACTCAATCGCTAATAAATAAAGCACTCGATACATTTCCGCTGAAACAACCAACATTTCGAAAGAATCTATCGATACTTAAATCGATACCTGTCTCTTCTGTGATTTAATTTAATTACTCGCGCATGTTGATATTCTTTTTCGCGACATTCTCGGCCAACTGTTCGCGGGAGAAAACGAACAGAAATGGGAATCCTACTGCGAAAATTTCAAGAAATGCAACTGTTGGAGCTAAAAATATTTAAAGCGTCCAAATAGCGTATTCCAACATGAAAATTTGTTCAGATCTACAACTTGTTTTAGTTCCTCTCACGTCTCATCCGTCACAGCGTTTCCATCGCCTTCCGGCACGTTCTTCTTCCGGCACGTTCTTCTTCCTCTTCAGCTCGATATCCTCGCGTCCCTTTTTCTCCTCGTCCCATCGACCACCACGAAGCGTCCGCCACTTGTTGTACTTGTCAAAGCGTGTTGCGGGTTAACCGATGGCAGCTGTGACGGCGGACGATAGAGCTGGTTCCATTGAACCATACTGACGTTGTACATCCTGGAGATAGCAGCTCGCAACTTTCCCCAGGAAATTGCTACAAACTTGGATTCGCAGCGCGTCACGCCCACGCGATGCGAGCCGGAAAGGTGCAACGCTTCGTTATAACTAAATAGCGTGGGTGGCAAGGATTCGATGGGTTGAAGATTGCGCACACATGTAAATGAAGCGTGTAGATAGCAATGCAAATGATGTAGCGATGGAAACTCGCCGTTAGCAGGTGATTAATTACTGGAAACCCTACGTTGCGTGTCATGGTTTCCCATGAAATACAAATTACGAACTTGCCGCAGAAAAGTTGAAGCCGAAGTTAATTGATGTGCGAGTTGTTCAGGGTTTAGAGCTTTTCGTACGAAATTGATGGATCGGATGCACGATGTGTTGAAATATTCGAAAACTTGTCAAGTTGTTAATAGTATACGGAATTGAGTTCATTTGTTATCTGTACAGTTACAGTGAAGCGCAGGACCGAGTACACGCGGTATAACCCTTTCGTAGTCACTGGAAACTGAGCTTCACGTCCACTTTTAGTGCATATGGAAACCAGGCTCAAATATTCCCACCGCTGATTTGTGCTGTCATCTAGAAAATTCATATCAAGGATTAAAGTGCTTCTTTAAAATTGAATCAAATTATTGGGTTGGCAACTAAGTAATTGCCGATTTGTTCAATGAAATAAAAAATTTTTTTTACTTGGAATGAAGTTTAATCTGTAATGTATTTCCCATTTTTGACCTTTTGCCATCTCTCTGACAACTTGAAAATTCCACGCTCGTTATTTCGACTCAATAGAAGGGAACAGTTCGTCAAACGAATTGGACCCTTGACAAATCTACGCGTTCTTCTTCGTTTGTGACTCGAAATGTGTCGTGATTTAATTATTTATTTATTATCCACGTTAACGTTCATTGCACCGCAATGTAATTGCAGGCGTTCCTGCTCAGGCGGTATAAAAGGTATTCTGTGGGAACGTATAAAATGTAGCGAACTGCTGATTCTATGTTATTCTACTCTTATTCTATTGGGTTAGCAACTAAGTAATTGCGGATTTGTTCAATGAAATAAAAAATTTTTTTTGCTTGGAATGAAGTTTAATCTGTAATGTATTT